ATAATAATAATAATAATAATAATAATAATTTGAATCTGAGGAACAGAATTTCTCAAAATAATGAAGAAAATATGACTGATTTGTCTTCAGTTAAAAGCTACTAACTTTTGGATTTAACCTGTTAGAGAAAATTTCCTGACAATCAGTAAAACATGAAGAATTTTCTGCTTAACAAAGGTCTTGCCAACAGATTTTCTTCATCAAGAACTTGACATTAACTTTGATAAATAAAATAATAACTTACTGTGGTAACAGAAGAATTGCTTCTGGAACATTAATAAAACGATTTTGGGATAATTTTAAGCTTGTTATGCTGGATGACAAGTCAGGTATTACTTCTAGAGCAGAAAAAGAGGATAATCCTATTACTTGTCAGAACTGTTTAAATTATTTTTAGACTGGAATTTTCTAAAATCAAAGACAGACTAAAAGGTCAGTCTATCATCTTCTATACACAGGTCTTTGTACAAGCTATCAAAGGCAAAATCTGAATCTTTTTTTTTAAAGCTTATTTAAAACTAAACTCCCAAAATGAAAGAAGTTTAGAACCGAGTTAATGTATTGGCTTTTATCACATGACATACTATTATACTTCATCTCATATTGGTATTAAACACTGAAGTAATCTTACTTACATTTTACTGTATTGCCAGTATACATAACATTCCCATAATTCACCCAGTGAGTGGTGGGTCTTATGCATATAAAAATGACTCTAATGGTTCAGCTGCATTTAATGCAGAGCTACCTTCTGAAATACTGTGACAATAATTTCAAAATAGAGGATTTTATGTCTTGAAGACAGAAATAAATTCTGACAGTAACTTATGAACTCCTGCAGTTTCATCAGGATTCATAAATCTCATTTATGTAATTTGTATTTTTCATAGGTAAATTAATTTTGACACCTTTGCATAAAATATGCTAAGCCACTGAAGCGCTCTGAACTCAATTGCTTAAACACTGGGTTCTAGTAAAGGGGATCTGCCCTGTGGTACCTGAGCTATCTGCACATGGCTTGGAGATAGAACACAGGAGCTATGAAAGACCTGCTTTTTCTGGACCAGAAGCTGTAAGCCAAGTGTGATACTTCAGGGCATCTCAAATGACACCTGTGTTTAGGCAAATGAATCATTCTATCTTATTCAGAAGACAACGCTGGTTGGTGTGGTAATACTTAGAATCATTTAGGTTGGAAAAGATCTTTAAGATCATTGAGTCCAACTGTAAACCTAGCCACTGCCAAGTCCACCACTAAACCATGTCCCTAAGCACCACATCTACACGTCTTTTAAATACCACCAGGGATGGTGACTCCACCACTTCCCTGGGCAGCCTGTTCCTGTGCTTGACAAGCCTGTCAGTGAAGAAATTTTTCCTAATATCCAAACTAAACCTCCCCGGGCACAACTTGAGGCCATTTCCTCTTGTCCTATCACCTATTTCTTGGGAAAAGAGACTGATCCCCACCTTACTACAACCTCCTTTCAGGCAGTTGTAGAGAGTCCCAGTTCCCTCAGTCGCTCCTCATCAGATTTGTGCTCCAGACCCTTCACCAGCTGCATTGCCCTTCTCTGGACACGCTCCAGCACCTCAATGTCTTTCTTGGAGTGAGGGGCCCAAAACTGAACACAGTACTCGAGGTGCGGTCTCACCAGGGCCGAGTACAGGGGCACAATCACTGCCCTAGTCCTGCTGGCCACACTATGGCTGATACAAGCCAGGATGCTGTTGGCCTTCCGGGCCACCTGGGCACACTGCTGGCTCATATTCAGCCGGCTGTCGACCAACACCCCCAGGTCCTTTTCCACCGGGCAGCTTTCCAGCCACTCTTGCCCAAGCCTGTAGCGTTGCCTGGGGTTGTTGTGACCCAAGTGCAGGACGCGGCAGTTGGCCTTGTTGAACCTCATACAGTTGGCCTCGGCCCATGGATCCAGCCTCTCCAGATTCCTCTGTAGAGGATCTGTTCCCCCAAGACTCCAAATGCTGGTGGCGGAGGAATTCTGTGACTTGGAATGGTTTCTAGAAGGTGGATCCTATTTTCACAGATACTTACCAAGAGCATTCATCCTGGCGTTGAACTGCTCCAGTTTTGTACAACCCATGAAGACATTCTCAGCGAGGGATGAAATACTGTTCTTACTAATGTTTAAAATTTTCAGTTCTTTCAAGCATATGGGTGAACATAAGCATGATATTTTGTTTCTGTGACAACAAGAAGAAAAAAATACTCCATGTTTTATTCAGAAACTACTAGCTCAAAAGTGAGAGTAAAGAGTATTGAGCTGACAATGCTATCCTTACACTGGGAAACCAAAAATAAGACTTTTATCTATATGAAGACTGATCAGTCAGCAAAAATACTGGTACGTGTGGCAACATGGAATAACATGACTGATATTAAGATTGTTTTAATTAATTTGTAGAACAAAATTCAGGATGTATTACAAAGTGTCACTTCCTGATTACATACTGCAGTTCAATTCCACACAAAGAGGACTGCTGCATTTGTGAATAGTTCTGTTTTCTAAAGATATGTGTTTGCAGGATTATAATCACGGAATGAATATCAATCTAAAAAAGAAAGAATGGAATTCCATATAGGGGATACAATTCAGGATGAGTATATAACATTACAAACAATGTATTCTGGGAAGAAAAGCACCAGAAAGAGACAAAGATCCTGAAAACACAGAGATAAAAGAACCACACAGCACTGTTTTGCAAGGGCAATATTGCTAATGAAGTTCAAAATAAAGCTAATGAAGAAATGCAACAGGATTTTTAATTTAAAACATTGCTTTTGTAAATTTGATTCACATATTTAATACTGCTTGCTTTAGTTACATATGTTGCTATCTTTATTCTGTGTGAACTTCTGTGTAAAAAATATCATCTGATTTAAAATAAATTATGGGAGATGAATGAGATAGTATCTGCAGTTTACAGAGCTATTAATAATAGCATTTTTAAGAACTCCGTATAGGTATGAATTATCTCATTCACTAACAAATATGATAAAAATATGGTTTTGGTACACAAAAAAATATGTATTTTCTCTGCTTCTGTCATTTAAAACATATCCATACCAATAAATGCAATTCCACGAATCATACTTCCAAAAAACCTCTGGTAAATACGAAATACAGTGCAAACTGTATTCTGTATAGAGAAAATCTAGTTGAGTATGTTAGACAACACAGACAGTCCTGTGGATGAATAGTATGGCAGTAAGAAAACGCTGAACTACAACATTTTTAGTGTATTACTGAAACTGCAATACTATCAGATTCTATCAAGGCCCACAGATATTCTCATGTACTTTGTTGTCCTGATTTCATTTGCACTACAACACTGAAATCTCTAGGCATTTACACATTTGGAAGATAATGTCAGTGTTTCACTGCTGATTAAACAATCCCTTCCATTCTATAACAGCCATCATTCTGGATGACAAATATATTATTTTCTGTTATGTTTGCTATGCTACAGTCCATTTACTAGTGCTACTCACCCTTCTAGCAGTAGCTGTTCCAGATTTTCAGCAACATTTGTAAGAAATTCAGGAGTGCACACCAGCTGATTGTAAGAAAGATTAAGTTGCTTTAGAGTTGGACATCTGAGGTATGGATCCAAAGTAAAGGAAGGTCCAATGTCATTTCGAGAGATATCAAGATTTGCAAGACAATTCATTTTCAGTAAATATGTTGGAAAAGAAGTAAATCGGTTACTGTGCAAATCCAAGTAAGTCAAGCATTTCAAGTTCTGAAAGAGAAGAATAATTTGTTTTTTAAACAGTTAAATGAAAATATGAATTTATGGGTTTTAAATGGAGTTATATTTTATACAATTTATTAACTTCCTTATATTTCTCTCACTAGGAGAAATAGCAGCAAATAGCAACCATATCAATGTAATCTGTAATATTACTGTTACAGAATAAAATATAGAGCATTCTTCAAAATTAATTAGCTCAGTTTCATAAAATTTAACAGATATGAATTGCCTGCAGCTCTTGGTTCCATTTACATTATTATGTTACTCAATATAACACATGCTAAAGCAGTTCTCTGCAGTAAATGACTTCAAACAGTTCCATGAAAATACTTTTATTTTTAGCTGAACATAAATCCACTGAATGAAAATTGAGTGAATGTACGAAGCATGCAAAAATATACAACCATATTCAAGAGTAATATTGTTATGGGTACATTGTTAGAGACAAAAAATTTATTGTAACTAATCTCAACTTGTATTACATAAAATTATGCAGAATTACTTCACACAGTTGTTCTGGAATGTTTGTAAGAACATTTTGGTGGAGCTCCAGTTTCTCAAGATGTTCCAGATGACTAATTAAGCAGCTATTCTGGCTGATGGCATCAATGTTCTCCAGCTCATTTGATGAAAGATCTAGTGATTTAATATATTCTTTCTCTGAGATCAATGAAGAAAGACTGTCTGATGGTCTTATATGTGGTGAAAATTTTGAGATGCTTTCTATTAAAATAAAAACATGGGAAAAATAGCATGATTCCATTCATCACATAATTTAAATTAATATCAATCAACTTGGGATCTAAAGGTGCAGAAGACAGCAAATGTTTGGATATTGGTTAAGATCCAAATCCATGAAGACTTCTATTAAGAGACAGAAATTTATAAGACAGAAGGGAAGAGGATGGATGCTTATGCACTGCACAACAGAAGTAGCTTTTGAAAGCTAACAAAGGCACTCGTGAAATTTCATTGCCCGTTTAATTCTACATAAATTATTTGTGAAGCCAAGGGAAAAAAATTAATCTCTATTTATGCATTATTTGTACTCCACTGTAGTATTTCCAAAACATATCCTCCTCTTTGTAAATAAATATATAATCTGACTAAAATCTTTGCATGCTACACTTGTGAAAGCATTACACATGAAAAATATGTTATATATGTTAAAATGTACAGTTTACTTACTGGGGGATTCATCTGAAGGCAAGAATTTTCTTCTTTGTTTCATTAATGGTTCATAATCTGAGCCAGGTCCCTGGAAAATCCCAGAAGAAAACAAAAAACAGTTACAGACATATGCAGATATCTGAAATGATATCTGAATTCAGTAAATTTCTTTTTATTGTGATTTCTTTTTATCACAGCTTCTGGGGGAACACAAAGAAAGTGTATATTTCAACAAAAAATAACAATAGGTCACATCTTTATAAGACTTACTGATCCATGCAATATGAAAGAACAGTAGATTTAAAGTGCAATGGAAGTAGTGCATTTTCTGGCAACCTAAAATGACTTTCTTTAAGGTGGGGTGACAGGATGGAGCAGGATATTACAAAAAATAACTTTCTCTAGGGAAGCCAGTCTCTCCAGTTTCCCTTTACAGTCAATGGAAATAGACAAGCTCCTTTCAAAGGAACCTGACTTCCCACCAATTTGTCCTCTTAGGTCTTCTTGCAGAATTGGTCTCTTCATTAATCACAGTAGCATTCTGAAGATTAGCTTCACTAAAAGGTACTTAAGGCTTTGTGAATAGGCCCACAGTTTCTGTATCTCGAATATCAGACTGGAAATTTGAGCAATTCACAAGAACGTGTACTTTTTATTGATCATAAATTTTTGCTGAAATAAACTCTCATCTATACAGTGATTGGGAGCACAGTAATTGCACAGCAATAAAAGGAAATATTAAATGGCAAGAGTGTGACAAGAGCCCATATGGTTACATGACCTTTCCTAACACTTGATTATCAACAATTTTGCTGTAGGCAACACAGATGGACTTGTAAGAAGCCTGGAATGGATAAGGATCTGACTTACCACAGAGTAGGAATGTCGTGGCAAAGTAGGAGAACCTCTTTGAAATTTTTTTTTATAAGTCAGCAACTGTAATGGAATTGGACTTCTTTTTTGTAAAAAGTGAACCTTCGCTTCCTAGTACAAAGCAATAACACAGAAGGACTGATAAGAAAATGTATTTACAATGAAAGTGTAATATAGATGCTGACATACAAAGGAGAGATACATTCCAAAAGCATCAATATCGACAGGATCTCACTGGTCAATTGTGTGTGCACAAGGCCAAGAATGTTGCCAATGTGTTTTAGAGTACATGGGTGTTCTGGTTTCAGCTGAGATAGAGTTAATCCTCTTTCTAGTAGCCAGTATAGTGCTGTGGTTTGGATTTAGTATGAGAATAATGTTGATAACACACTGATGTTTTCAGTTGTTGCTGGGTAGTTGTAGTGTCTACACCAAGTCAAGGACTTTTCAGCTTCTCACGCCCTGCCAGGTGCACAAGAAGCTGGGAGAGCACAGCTGGGACAGCTGACCCAGCCTGGCCAGAGGGATATTCTGTACCATAAAACCTCATGCTCCGTAGGTAACCGGGGAAGCTAGCTGGGAGGCAGGATTGCTGCTCAGAAACAGACTGGGCATCAGGTTGGTTTTCTTTCCTCCTGCACGTGGTGAGCAATTGCATTTGTGCATCACTTTATTATCATTATTATTATAATATACTACTACTGTTCTTCTTCTTCTTGTCCTTTGTTATCCTATTAAACTGTCTTTATCTCAACCCATAAGGGGTTTTTTTCCATTCTCCTCCCCATCCCCTTTTTGAGGAGGAGGGATGAGCGAGTGGCTGTGTGGTGCTCAGTTACTGGCTGGGGTTAAACTACAACAACAGGCCACACTACCCTCACATGCTCCAAATATGACTTGCAGCCTGTTACATCGATGCTTTGTCATTTAAAATTTCCAGCAGGTTGGGATTATTATACATGTTTTGTAACACATCTTTGTGCTACTGCTGTGTAAGTTACTTTTTCAAATAGAAAAAGGTTGTATTTTATGATTTGCACTCACACGTTTATTGAGAATGAAACATCAAATGTCACTCTAGCTTTGGTCATTTAGGGTTATCTGGATCCATTTGGTGTTTCTCTTCACAAAGCTACTTTCAAAACTCCTAAAATCACTCCTGTTAGCAAAGCCTGTATTTTTTCTACCATAATTTACATATGACTTAACAACTTTTCTATGTGGGATAACAAATAGTACCTATTATGTGTCTGTGATACAGTCCTACAGAAATGAAAAATGGTGCTGAATGATTTAAAGGAAAAGAACAAAACAGAACCAAAATAATTCCTTAGGATTCTCTGATTCCAAAATTCAAATTCTTCATCTGTGATGATTTTAAGTATCTAACAGTTCTAAAACAACATTGACATCTGAAGAAACAAAAGTTATGTTGTGAAGTAAGGCCACTTACTCTTAATATTATTAAGTTACTGATATCAGAGACAGAAATACCATTTTTTTAAGTTGAAGGCATTCAGATTTCCTGACATGGTTACCAATAATAATGATTGACTGAACACAGACTTGTCATTTACACTTTCTAATCATTTAGGTACCTTTGGGATAGGGTTTGTTTCACCTACTTTATTTGTTAACAATATACTCCTCTATACCTGACTTAGTTGTGTTCACTTTATTTACAGACCACCCAGGGAACAGGGGTTTCCAGATCACAATACACCTGCCTTCACGATGAGACAAATTATGCTCTTGAAGCACTTGTCTTTTGCTTTTGACTATAAAGGCAGCATAAGAGAATAGCTCAGAAACAGACATCACAATAGTCAATAGCTAAATTTGGTTGGATGAATCCCACTCTTTCTCTCTACAAGAAATTCAATGCATGATTAACTAATTTTAAATGAATAACTGAATAAAATGCTTTAAGGTCCTAATTTTGTAGATAAGCACATACGTACTCACCATAAACTATTTTCCAATGTTACCCCAAACAAAATTTTAGATAAAAGTATTTTTTTCATGGTAAGTGTTTTATCTCTAATACAAATAAGCAACTGATTTATGGCTATGGTCTAGCCCTGGTAAACTAGATTGGGATTATAAAAAGAAAAACAATTACCTTCACTATCAATATCATCACTCAAAGGAAAAACACTGTCCACTAATGGGTCAGAAATGAAATTCCAATCATAGTTTTTATCCACTCCATCTTCAGAGAAGTTTAGATCAGAGGAGGCTCTTGATCTATCCTCAGAAATATTCTTCATCTGGAATTTAAGCACCATTCTTGCCAGTGCAGAACCTGCATCTGTATGTATAACAAACCAAAAAGATAGCATATTCTCCAAGAAATCCAAATAGCTTTAAAAAAATAACAGAAATAACTTGATTTATTTTCAAGGTTTGGCAGTCCTTCTATAACCAGCTGAATGCTATGAAGAGATCCTCAACTGAAGGTGTTGATCTAAAACACTTATATAGTACCATCAAGAGGTATTAACACATTTCACATAGCAAATTCTGTATGTACTCACTTTGTTTTCTTAATGGAGTAAGTTTATCTGGGAACAAAGGAATGAGCCAGGAAGGTTCTAGTCTCCCAATACCAAATCCTCCAAGACATATACTGCTGTTGGCGACATCAAGGCTAAGCTTCTTCAAAAGCAAGCTGATGATTTGGCTATCTCCTTTCTTTATACTGATGGTTAAAGCACTCCGAACATCCTGCTCTCGAGCACCATTGGCTAATAGCAATTCCACCAATTTAGGATTATTTCCTTTCTCACAAACCTAGCAGAGAAAAGCAATTAAAAAATGTATGTGGTGCACTCAAACAACAGCTCAGACTGCATTAAAAGACTTGTCTCAAATTCAGATTCACTGTATTTTTAGGATCTTTTTCAAATACACAATTCCCTACCCCTCAGAGCATATGCCTGCCTAAGCCATTTGAGTACCAACTCCCATTTTCCTGAAGTCTTTGTCCAAAATATAACAAATGCTTCAGTTGTGTAATTGTAATTTCTGCCACGAGTGCACACAATTTCCAGGCAAAAATGAATGGTAATTTATGTAGTTTGGTTATTGCATGCGGTCTGTGGCAACTCCATTTATTTATCTGTTCAGTGGAAAAAAGACACTTAGGGGTTGTTTTTGCCATGCTATCTGGATATCAGATGAACAGGCAACAAAGGTGAGACTCATCAACCCTTGTCTGGTGCTCGGGAGCTCAGGACCACTGGCTTCCGTCAGCTTTACTCCTTTGAATCTCTCAGCCTGCATTGCTACACAGAGCAGTGTTGATAGTGAATATTACAAATATTTTTTAGAAACACTTCCAGTTACTTCAATATTTCCATTGTGGTTCGCTAACACTGATTTGCTTACCTCAGACTCCATGGATGGATGGTTGGTTCCAAACTCAGCTGTGCTTTATCACCCAGCCAGCTCTGTCTGCAGAAGTGAACACTTCCTAATTCACTTCAGGCAGTACTAGTGGGGTTATCTCAGACCGTTCAAAACTTTGGCACTGAAGCAAAATTAAGAAGTGCTAATACACACTGTTTCTCAGAAAAAGTTTTAAAGGCAGTCACATTTAGCAAGGACCACTCCTAAGCAGGTGGGAACAGCCTGTCCGTTGGCATGGCTGAATCCAGATGGGATGTTTGCCTATGGCCTTGAGACACCAACATATTTCAAATAGTTGATGCTCTGGATGTGGCCACTGTCTGGATAAAGCTCTTTGCAGCTATTGTGACTGAAGCATCCCAAATTGTTACTTTAGCTCTGCTGATAAAAAGTCAGAACTCTAACCAGAACAGTTAAATCAGCACAAAAACCAATGACTATATTCATCTTTAAGTACAATACAAAGTAAAAAAAATTCCACCATTCCAAGGCAGGCATTTTGGGCAAAGTCTTCTTTGTAGGTCTAAAACAGAGTGGGACTAAGTATACTGAAGCCTACCTGTGCACAGTGCTGCCTGCTGATTCATCCCTACTTTGGCCTCACAGACCTTGGAAAGAGCTAAATTTGGAACATCAGTTCATGGACAGGGCTCTAATGGGCTTGATGCCATCTATGTCTGGCTAGTTCTGAAAAAATGACCGGGAGTTTGCAAAGCTTGAGCCTAAGTCTTCTTCCTCAAAAATACTCCAAAGCTAAGGCTAAGTCAGTACTTGTTTGAACCCAGGTTTGCATGTGAACAGGGTAAACAATCAGAAAGCATGGACTTTAAAGTGAACTTGCATGAGAACTGAACTGGCAGTGTAGGCACATTCTAGGTGACAGTGAGCTTCAATAAAGTGAAGGGTGTTTCAATCAGACTGAGCCTGGAGTCACTGGGAGTAGCAATGGTTAACACCACTCAACTCACAGGTTGCACTGGGTATTGCTGCTGTGTTCTGCCAAATATATGCTTACAGGAAAAGAACACAAAAGCACAAATTTTAAAACAATAAAACTATATATATTTCCATATATTACCTGATAGATCAAAGAGTTTGTCTTTGTCTTCTTATTAATATCAGCTCCCAGTAGAAGTAAACATTCAGCCATAATACTGTTATACTCAATACACGCTTTTTCCAGCATCATATTTTTTAAATCATCATTTTCAGCTATTTTAGCAAAACATTTACAACACAGGCTTTGAAACTGAATGGGAAGATAAACAATCAAAGTTAGGACAAAAAAAGCACCAAAATTTTTCAATTGCGGAGCTGTCAAAAGAGACAAGATACCTGTCGATCTCGCTGGTCAGTGAAACACATAGACATCTGGTAGAAAATGACTGTGTCAAATGATTCATGTACCAGCAGCTTTGCAAAACAAGGTGATAAACCAAGAATTGACAAGATTGCATGAAATCCCTAAGAATACAATGAGAAGACTGAAATAAGTATAGTGTTAAAAAGTGTCATTTTAAAACAGGTTGTGCAACAAAATGAAATTTCAACCAAAAGATATGTGCCTTAATTTTTTTGGTCTTGCTTTTAAATATGCAATGATTCACAAATTGGAGAAGACTAGGAGAGAGGCAGAAACATCTGGTGTCTCTGTGTTTATACAGCTGTAATTTCATACTTGTTTAGCTGACCCACTTAGATATTAACTGACACTTTGAAAAACCAAATTATGCACCATAATATCTGACAACATCCTGCCGGGCAGTGACAAACGTACTCGTGATTTCCTGAAAATGCGCAGAGGAAACAATCTCCTCCTAAAGATAGGGATGAAGACGCATCCCCTGTCCCAATGTGGTGCTCTGTAAACCGTGAATTTGAAAAAAATACATAGGCTAAATGAAAAACTTAACAGGACTATCTAAAAACTAAAAAGAAATCCAAAATTATCCTGTGATTCTGCAAGTAAAGTTCGCTTAGAAGAGTGAACTGGGTAAATTACAGACTCTTTGTCCAAACCTAATTGAGACTAAGTCACTTTAAGTAACTTCCTTATTCCACCACATTATTTTGATTTCTCTCTGCACTGGTTACTAAGTTAAACTTGGAAGGGCTGGGAGAAAACCAGCAGTAAAGAAGGGAGCCTGTACTTGTGATATTCCCATATTGATCTGAAACAGAAACACAGAAACTCTCACAGGAAGCTGATTTCACAGGGAAGCTCCCTTCCACTAGAAAAATGAAGCTGACAACAAACAGCGAAAGCTTCTGAAGCAGAGGAAACGGAACTTTCACACAAGGAGGACTGAACATGTGTTTTCAGGCAGAAAAAGAATTCTTCTTCCATATTCAGAAGTAGATCCAAAGTCTGACATAGTATTCCAGTAATATCCTTCTTAAATACAGCAGTCCTACATGAAGCTTATTGCTGGTGATGGGGCTGGGAACAAAGTTGTTTTCTTTTACTTTTCAAAAGAGGGTAATCAATACTATAATGACAGTTACTTCATTAAATGGTTATAGATTGACTGAATGACAGACCATGACTGAGAAATTTGTTCTAGTTTGCAGATCTCAGAAGTCTTAGATAAACACCTAAACCTACACTTACATATTCTGGATTGAATATATGTCTCCAAGAAAACCATCTCTATGGCAAACATATTGGTTTAATTTTAAAGGCTTATACAATCTAGTGATTGCAATAAAATCAAAATGAAGTCATTAATATAAGGAATTATACTTCAAATTTAACTACATTAAAATAATTTTCTAAAGTTTTGCCTTTCATCTTTGTACGCTGGAATAACACATACATGCATCTGGATTTCAGTGACCTCTTTAAATCGTCGGAGAGTAGAAACCAGAACTGTTGACAGGACATGCATGGTTGCAATACACAAACTCTTCCTTGTAATCAAAGAGCGTAGAAGACTCAAACCCAAACACTGTATGTCTAGAAGAAAAAAGAAAGATTAATAATGTTGATTATTCAGACATTCTGAGTGGAACAACCCCATATTACTAATATTCCAGAAAGTTATTTGCCTAAGCTATTCCAAGGCCAGGCATAACTATGAAGTGCATGAACTCGAGGACTACGCAGTACAGCAGCCTTTTCTTGCCATGTTACCTACATCACATCCACTACTAAAGAGTCTAATAGGTAGGTTACAGCTTCTATGGCTAATCAGCCCCTCCTACTACATCATTCACATTCAACTAACAAAATACCTTCCCTACCTTGTTCATCTGGATACATCTGTAGGGTATGAAGCACAGTATCAGTAGCTCCTTGCTGGGTTAATATTTCTAGTGCACCAGTGCACTCAGCAACAGAAGCAAGTAGTTTTAATCCACACTTCTGAATGCTAGGATTTCCAATAAACTAACAGAGAAATGAATATAAAATCAGATCAAGTTTGTTCTGCTTACAGTGGCAACAGAAGAGTTGCTTGTTCTTAAAGTTAAGAAGTATGTGAAATTACAGCTGATGTGACAATAAATAACAATAATCACAATTTCAAAAAGGTTTCCTTTTCAACCATCAGTTTCAGCTGCTCATAACCTCCCCAGATTTTCACCTTTGATTCTGAAAATACTCCCTACTATTTTTGTAATGGAAAGTGGGATTTTTTTTTCCTCAAAGTTTCAGCACAACCATTCACAAGTTCACACCATTTTGCTGTAAGACAAGGAGAGTGAGAAAATTAAATTCCTTTGTGGTTAAAAAGGAATAAAAATGCGGTTCTTTGAGAACCAGCAAAAGTGATAAACACGGTGGCAACTGAAAAAAAAATGAAAAGAAAAAGATGTGAAGCAACATACCTTTTACTACACCCCATGAAGATTTTAAAAGTTTTGGGCTTAGTTATATAGCCTTTCAATAGGTTATTTGTGATTATTTTCCCAATTTTCCCCCACTTCTAGGTGGAGGAAACCTAGATGAGGCCTACATCTGAAAGTGTGCATAGCTGTCACATTGACTTGCAAATCTGGAAAATTATTTCAGTGGAGTCATGCCCATCTTCCTCCTTATTCCTTCTCTAGTTTTTCATTAAAATATATTAATTTCTAGCCCTTCTGGTTGATATTGCAGTACCCCAAAATACAAACCAGCTGGGTCAGAAAAAGCTATCAGAATGGTCACAAAGCACTGGAGACTGTAATACATTCTGAAGTAAAAATTATTTTGCCTCCCTTGTTAACTCCTATATCCTATATCTTCAGGTCAAGAAATGTCCTTTAGACACTCTAACAGTCTTTTGCTGATACATTATTTGCTCTGACTTTTATCATAAATGTAAGAGACATAAATTTCCTTGACTGAAGGTGTTCGGCAAGCCTAAAATTGCTGAGAGACTTCTAAAGAATTGTGAATTGCTACATCCATTTTGATTATGGTCATGTGAACTTTGTAAACCTTGTAGAGGTGGGATTCTTCTGGAGGCCATAAAGTTAAACCTTTCATATCACTAGGATTTAAGGTTAATTTGCTGTGCAAAATGCCCAGTGCTTCTTCCTTTGTTTAGGCTGGGTCTGCTTCAGCCTTTCACTTTTCAGCTTCCCCTTCAAGGCACTGGGATCATTCTGTTTTCCAGCAGCTGCAAAAAGTTATAGAATTGAACAGTGAAAAGAATGGGCACAACTGAGGAACTCTGTTCTGTTGAAAGCAGAGGAGTCTGTATCCATGAAAGCCACATTAAAAGAACCACTCAGTTCTATGTGTAGCTGAGGTGTAGGTATGAGGACACTTTTAATATATAAACTAGTCCATTCAAAATCACAAATAAACTGTATGCTTGAAAAAAAAATTAGCCTTGTTTTTATAAGTATCCCTTAGAGTTACTGTATAAAGGATCATTGAACACACTACAGAACAAAAGAAAGAAATTCCAAATGACAAATGAAACGCAGGAATTAAGATTAATTCTATCAAATCAATAGGAAAATCATTGTGGAACTAGAACTTACAAATGATTCACCATTGCAAGTGTAAGATAGAGACAAAATTCATTAGAATAAAGCTTTAACTATACCCTGTTCAAAGCACTCAGCACCAATGAATGAGTTCCCTCCAACAGACACTGGCTTTTAACGACTTTTACTGTAAGTGCAAAAGCAGCATCTCCCACATCTCTGGAAGAACCGTTCTGGTCATTCTTTGTATCTGCAACAACAGGAAACAATCATCTTCCTTAGAAGAACAGATTTAATGTCCCCCCCTCAGTATAACCCAATATAACAATCAAATTGAACACACAGGTTTTAACAACTGACTCAGATCTTATGATATTTTCAGGACGCTGTAGTTACAGAGGCTGGAGTCCCTCCAGATTTATATTGTAGCATTAGTACATCATGTTTGAAATGATTTCACCATATGTTTGCTCACTGCTTACTGTGAAAATGCAAAATCATGCCAAAGAATTTTGCCTAACGTACATTGTAATATATTACTTTTTTGAGCCATGGGGTTTCTTGGTGTTCCTGATAACTACTTCAGAACGCCTCTTTCTTCTGGACAGGAGACACTATAGAAAAGCTAGAAACTAGTTGCTCTTTCTTGCTTGGCAGCACATCATAGGCCAAATTTTACCCACAGATGACGTAGGTGGAAGGTGAGTACAAATAAAAGAACAGAGAAAGGTCTTTCAAAATTTACCTTTCTTGTAGTTATTGGCACTTGCAGTCAAGTGGCACTACAGACAGTACCCAGAAATCCTTTAAAAGTCACTTCAAGCATTCATATTTGTTCTGATTACTATTTTCCCCATGAATTACTTTTTATTCCCTAATTAACCTGCAAGTTTCAACACCCAGTTGGCACTCTCTTTGTTTGATTACGCTTTAGAAGGGCCTCACTTCCGGGATACTGGCAAAAAAAGTGCCTTGCCTACATGTTAGAATATATATATCAAGTCTTAATCCTGCTGTTTATTGGAAAAAAAGGGAAAGTATTAGGATTATAATGCAAAGAATAGAAGGAAGCTAAAAACCTGCAATCAGTCTGCATATTTAGCCAAGTTACTAGTTTCAGAGTTATTGGTTTCATAAATGTTCATCTAAAACTGCTGAAAGATACTTGCAAAAAGTTAAAAAAAAAAAAAATAGCACCCCATGTTTGTACTCTCACACTTAACATCAGAGACAAAAACCAGGATATACAGCAGTAGACTGTTAAGAAGAGTTAAAATGTTCCCCAAATTCTATTAAAGGTACTGAACTAACAAAGAACATTTTTTTCCCCACTATAGATTGCCTTTAAAGAGTTTTTTATTGGAAAGGAATTTCTAAGCTGGTCAGTTTGGCTTCGCCTTTGCTGTAGAAAATAGTATATAATAATGTACTTCCTATCTTTAAATCACTGTCTTATTTTTTGGTGTTAGAGGTCCAATTTTTATGTTCCTTCCAAGAAATACTATTACAACAATGGCATTTTGTGGTACAACAATGTTGAGGTCATTACCACTGTTTGCTCTCACTTAAAGGGTATATATTACAAAAAAACAGAATCACAGCAACAGCTCCACACTCATTCCCTGAATTCCTTAAAAGTAATGGAGCTAACTCTTCACTGATAAACTCAAGGGGAAATCAGCAGTGATAATTTTGGTCTGTTACCTTCAATACCTCAAAAGTCTTCCTCCATCTTGTAAGTTCTTAAAGAGTTACAGCTGCTCTCTGCTATGTACAGAACTCAGTAAATTTTTTGAAGTCCCATTAAAGGCTGTCTCATTAGATAAGAAAGACTAAAACCCAGCTATCTAACACTATTCTCTAATTTGGTTTATGATGCCACATAAATTATATTTTTGGATGACTTACCGGGCATCATAAAGTGTAAAAGGACTCGAAGTGCTTCCAGTTGTACAGAGAGTGATTTTTCATGCTTCCTCATGGCTTTTACAACTTCTGATGCAGCTACCGTCATTGTATCCAGATGAGGGAAACTGAAAATATTGTTTATAAAATAAATAAAAAGAATGCATTTCTAAATTTTACATGTATTTGCTTCCTTAATTAACACTGTGTAATAACCCTTTAGAACACTGTGAATCTGGTTGGAACTACAAAACATAAATTAAACTATGGTACTTTTCTTCATCTTAGCAAACATATTATTTTAATGCCATTTCATGAATTCAGTCTATGTAACTAATTCCATTCTAGACTACCGAGAGGTAATTTTCAATCCAGTCCAGAACAGCGATACACAGAAAGTACAGTATTTCATTCAGGGTTGGTGGTGGATTCATATATTTCACTTTGATTCCAGTCCAGATATGTGAAAAGATATATCTTCATGAATTTAATGCTCCACAACTGTCATAAAGTACTGATGAATTGTCAGATATTTGTAGAATAAACAGAAAAATATCAATCATGATAGGTTTTAATCTTGAAGAAAAAAAATAAATCTCAATGTCATTAGCATTCCTGGAAATGGCAGTTGCCAAAGGCCACTAATTCACTTTCAACGTTATTTTCTTTTTTTTAATTTTATAATACATTTTATTCCTGTGAACATGTTTATGGAAGTTTTGAGATTTTCTTCTTTATAAAATGAAGTTGTTAATAAGAAATTCTGTGACTGCATCCTGAGTCTGTAATTTTTTCATGGACAGCTTAGCATATATAAAGGTTTCAGGGAAGGCTGGAAAAACTTGGCAAGACACTTGGAATAATGTTCCCACCCTGTATACCAGTATTTATGACTCACAAGTTTGTTTTCCAGTCACGTTCTAGAGCATTTGCAAAAGCTAACACAAAAGTAATATCGACATAATGTTATTTTAACAATCAGAATTAATACTGTGGAAAATTTCTTAGCTCTCAGTGGAATTTCGTGTGGCTAACAGGAGGGTACACCACCTAGCGATAGTCTATTCAAACCTCACTGCTCAAGAACCACGAAGGGAAGAACATGCAGCTCCCCACATATATCCACCTGGACATCTGACTACAGGGGTTACAAAATTCAACGTCTTGAACAGGGCTGTCAGCCTATGGTCAATTTTAATATCAGTAAAACAGTCAATAATTTAAATGTAATCAATTACAGCACTGAATCTCACAAACCTTCACTCTGGAAGTGGCCACATATTTCTAAGTATATTACCTTCCTTCGAAAACATGATTCAGAATTCTGCAGGCACTTTCAGCCACTTCAGGAGAATGTGGATGTTTCCTCATTATATGTAAAACATTCATATGTATTCCTTTAGCCAGAAGTGTCTTCCTGATATTTACTACAACACAAAATAGCAAGCATCCTATTAGTAAATCTCTCTATGTATAGTTTTCAAAAACAACAGAACTGCTAACTTTTTTTCCCCCTTTTTTTGATTTTTTCCTCACCAAACACACATGTTATAGAAGTATAAATTAGAATGGGAAATAAATTGAGCTGAATCTGACCTCTATTTGCACAGCTTAATCAAGAGCATTATAATTCCTGAATCCATAGTAAGTTTAAATACATCTGCTATTTTTACTCACATAAAGTTAACTTACGGAAAGAGAATGTACACCTTGGCTTTTATTTTCAAAAATGTTTATTCTTAATCAATTTTTCCTCTTAATTGCATCCTGTGATCATAGAATCAGATTTGGGTTGGAAGGGACCTTGAAGACCATCTAGTTCCAACCACCCCTGCCATGGGCAGGGACACTCTCCACTAGACCAAGTTGCCCAAAGCCTCATCCAAACTTCCAGGGAGAGGGCATCCACAGCTTCTCTGGGCAACCTGTTCCAGGGCCTCACCACCCTCACAGGGAAGAATTTCTTCCTAATATCTAATCTCAATCTACCCTCCTTCAGCTCAAGGCCATTACCCCTTGTCCTATCACTCCATGCCCTTACAAACAGTCCCTCTCCAGCTTTCCTGCCGCCCCTTCAGGTACTGGAAGGCTGCAATAAGGTCTCCCGGGAGCCTTCTCTTCTGCAGGCTGAACAACCCCAACTCTCTCAGCCTGTCTTCGTAGCAGAGGTGCTCCAGCCCTCTGAGTATCTTCATGGCCCTCCTCTGGACTCTCTCCAATAGCTCCATATCTTTCTTGTACTGGGGGCTCCAGAGCTGGATGCAGTACTCCAGGTGGGGGTCTCATGAGAGTGGGGCAGAGTGGGGAGTAGAGGGGCAGAATCCCCTCCCTCAACCTGCTGGTCATGCTTCTTTTGTTGCAGCCCAGGACCCGTCAAATCCATGTGTCTCCAATTTAGAGACAAGGAAAGCTAGAATTTAAAATTTTCAAAAACTTCTAACTTCCAAAATAAGGCTTCAAAAATGAAACTATATTTATTCACTCTATTTACTTTGTTAATTCATTTTTAAAAAATTCAAATACCCAAGCACATGTTGTAGCTATGGCTGTAACCAATACAGCTCAGAATACTACAAAAATATTCTACCTTATTATGGTAACTGTTACCAATTCTTGTCATTCCCAGTTCAGTACACCCACATTTCAAATGGTTAATTCAAGCAATATTGCATTGTGCCAGAGGGTCTTACTAAGCTTCTTTATTTCTTTCATTTCTGCTGTAAGCACATTCATTTACAGGAAAAAAAAGAAGAAAAACAAAAATTTGCTTTAGATTTCCAAAGGGAATCAGAGGCCCACTTGTCAGTAACATGTTATGAAAGTACCTGTTACATTACAAATGTATGCATATGTGTATAAGATCTATGTCTTGATATAGATACATATTTATCTTATAAATAATTATAAAACCTTTTCATTGCTAGGTTTTATCTACTTGGATGGCTCAGTAACCTAGTGATAAAACAACGCTTTCTCACCTACAGAATGGTAATTAACTGCTAGGCTTTATCATCCTATCTAGTCAGTGGTTTTCAATGTGTGGTTTACAAACCACTTGAGGTCCATAACCATTTCAAAGGGTTCTGGGAAGGGCATCTAATAAAAGCAGGCCCACTGTCAGTAGGCTTAAATACTCTACCCAGGAGTCCACATCTCCAATGAAAAATTTTGAGGGGGTCTGCAAACTGAAAAAAGTTAGGAAACCATGTTAGGGACACAATCAGGACCAAAGCAATCTTGAAAACTGTTATGCACATGCTTAACTTTCTACACTTGATTTGATTCACTGAAGTCAACAGGACTGCTCAAATCCCCTGTGTTAAGCAAGAAAATGGTATTTGTTGGGCTGTAATCCTTACCCACGTGATTCTCAACAAATGCTGCTCTTGATGAATTTCATACATGATAAATATTTAAACAAGCATACCATGAGAAGACATTCATGTCTCCTGCACCAAAAAATAGCAATTGCAACACATAAACTGGCAAAGAGCTCTTTACTTCCACATACTATCTTTGATACTAGCCAAGAATAGCTTTTTCAAAGCAAGGAATAAACTTCCTGCTAAACACAACTGCACAATAATCTAATCACAGGGAATATTGTCTTCATGCAACAGCACACTAAATATTCTTTAATATTACAGCCATAACTTTCTGCCAAATTAGAAAGTAAAGACAATTAAATCCCTTACCATTTTGTTGTGACAAAATTGCCAAGGTACTAGCAGCTGCCTGAAATACTTCTTTTGAAGATGAGTGCATCAGCATGGAGAGCATCACTGCTCTGTCTACTGGGAACCTTTCACAGAGAGAAACAAATCACTGCACACTGACCATATTACAGTAGTTACTTCATAAATATAGTTCAGTTTCCTAAAAACGTATTAAATGACATAATTAAAATTTCAGATGATTGTACTTGGCTTGTAATTTTTTTTCCAGAGCAACAGCTGACAGAAAGCCCTTTGCAAACTATGCATCTCTATGTTTTCAAACTATAGATGCAAACTATGCATCATCATAGTTTTCAAACTATGCCTACTCTGAATCTCACTGAATTCACTTGGAACCATGCTTTCCAAGTAGCTTGAGGTCCAGAAAGGGGTACAAAACAGGCTTAGTAAAATCTGAATGATTAAAATTTTCAGCAGCTTTCAGAAATAGTTTAAGGAAAATGAAAGTCTGTGTCTTACTCATGCCTAAGTTCTTCCTGATGAGGCAGCACCCCCTCTACTATGCCCTTTCATCTGATTTATGGGAAAATAAGCACTGCTTTTCCATACTACTTAGGTACTAGATATCTTAATCTTCTCTATTTTCCCTACCTTTACATTCTTTAATCCTCCCTATCTTTGTTGCAACTGAAGAAGAAATTCCTTGTGAACTGTAAAAATTAGCTCTATTAGGCTGTGTTCTGACCCTTTATTAAAACACTAACAATTTTGCCCGAGTCAAGTTGCCACACTTTTCAAGAAAGAAACTTTCCCAAGTGTTGTTGATCACCATGTATTTCATGATACATTAGAAAACAAGAAAAAAAATAAAAATAATTTAAACATGAGACCCCAAATGGCCTAATAGTAGGCTTTCATTTTTTTCACTTCCAACAATACAGTTCAAGATATTAACACTGACTGATTATCTCCATCTCCAATCTTCTCATGAAGGTTGCGTTGATACAGAAACAGATTTTTCAAAGCCCAGCATGCAGCCTCCTAAACAGAAACCAAGAGGAGACAAAATGATTAAGAAAATATGCTTTTAGAATATAAAAATATATGAAAGACATTAAATAGTTTGACTGTTTCTCAGTTCACGACAAAGGTACAAGGTGCTTTATGTAGAAATACAACAAGGTGTGGACTGTCACATTCTTCATAGCTGGGATGGGTCTGAGTTACAAACATGTGCCACATTCTCATTATTCGATTTGCATTTTGATACCTATTTTAGGGCAAGATTAATTCTTCTGTTGATGGGCCTGTGTTTTGCTGGTGTATACAGAGGAGCTATGTAAACAACAATCTTTGGATGGCAAAAGTTTCAGGTAACAGGTCTCGTCTTAACTACCCACATTTGAGCCAAAGGAGTAACCGAAACCAGTTGAGGTGAATAAAGATAAGATAAGGCAAGAAAGGTAAGATTTATTCTAAATCTAATCTAGTCCTTAAGGTCTCATTTGCCCGAGGATATACGGGAGAAAATGATGTTGCTGAACTTTTTATTTAATGCATAATGCAGTCTTTCCATACCCCCATCATCCAAAAATTCTCACCAGCACATCTGTGTTTTTTCGATGTAGTTCTAGTGCTCGGTAACATGCTTCCAACCAGCATAATTTCTCTTCCTCCTCCTCTTCTTTTCTTTCCTCTAAGTCTCGGTTTAAGAATATTGTTTCAGCTTGAAATATAAAATATTTACAATAAATTCTTATTGTGAAAACAAACACTTATGTCTTAACTTTCCTGTAGTCATGGAGGTTGTCACACTGCCTATGTGTGAAAATCAGTGAGATGATTAGCCTTTTCTGGGAAGGGAGAAAAGGGAGAAGTCTTTTGACATAAATTCTAAGACAGATTTGAAAAATGTCTTTAAGGTTATAAAGGGACTAAAACCCTTCATTATAGTGTGGTAAATTTGGTACGTAGCTACAGATCAGTCAATGCTTAGGCTCTGACAATACCTGCACATACTTTTTTTTTTTTTGGGGGGGTGTATTTACATACAGAATACCACAGACATAAAATATAACTGTGATTCATTTGCACGTAACCACTTATCACAGAGCCATCTACACTCTGAAACAGCGCCATTAAAAAACAAAATGCAAATTGCAGTTGCTAAGACAGAAATATTTTTCAGCATTTAAGGAAAAAAAAAAAAGTATCAACACTGACCATAATGTCAGAAGCTTACTGGAGTGTGTACTGTTTTCTAATCTTTGCTATTTTGGGGACTCTTAAACAGCATTTCTACTGAATTTTGTATGGAACAATTACTCAAAGACTAAGAAGATCAGATCCTTAGCATTTTGCCACTAGCTAACTAACTTCTGTTTCAAAATAATACCTGGAATGTACTCAAGGAAAAGTTTAAATCTTTTAATTGATCTCAGAACTCAGGCACAAGCATTGATGTGGTGTTGCTATCAACTGCCACAATATAACAAGTATTGTCACACATGGCAAACACAGAATCAATATAGTGGCGTTATCTCTAGAAGTTTTATGTTAAGCAGGGATTATCCAATATTTGCTTATGAACAAACAGGTTGCTTTGTTAAGATCTGTCAACATAACTTACCAGCTCTCAACACTGTGAAGAAGTTAGGCGTATGGTATGAACACAGCCATGTCATAGTAAACAAATTGTAAGCATGTAGGAAATCTAGCTCTGTCAAAGCTATCCTGCCTGAGGCTTTCATGTTAAAGAAATGAAGTTTGAAATGATTACAGGAAATAACCAGTATAAAAAAAAATAACAAGTGGATAGATAAATGAAGTTATTTATTTATTTATGTATTTAGGAAGGAATTTACTTACTCAGAAGCGCTAAACAACTGAGAGCTGCAGCTTGTAACTTTGCATTTTCAGGATATGTTTTAACAGCCTTGACAATGACTTCTGGAACCTTATGTAATACAAGGATATTGAAAAAATTTCCTGAAAATAAATAAGGCATTAAATGAATATAAACAGATATCTACAGCTTTACATGTATTTAACATAAATTTCTAAACACACAACGCACAAACTTTGTCTGTCGCAAACTTTGGATTTCTTATTATAGGGCATGACACAACAATTTTATTTGTGGAAAGAAGAGCTCAAGGATAAAAAAGTTGGGATCTGGGTTCTTTGTGTTTTTCACAAAAGACTGAGGTTTAATGCAAAATGAAGTGCACATCGTCATCAAAATACAAAAAATACAGTCAGTTTATCACTTGCAGACTTCCTGCCAGGAAGCGAATGCAGTCCTGGCCTTGAATTACTGCAATGATGTGATTTATCCTACCAACCAAGTGGTTTAACCCTGTTTTGCCCTCTGTTCTTGCCTTCCTCATTAAATATATCAAGGTCAGCATTATAAATACAGAATACATACATTCTGGAATAGTATAAAGAATAACCTCTGATGATAAATTTATTTAAAGCATAACTTTTATCATAGGATGTACAGTATTTTATATTATAGGTTGAATAAAAGGAATTCTGCAAAAAGCAAGCAAATGAATGAAAATTACTTTTGTGTTTGTTGTAAAAACAAGTATTATGAATAAAATAATTCAGCAATGCTCATTTTGTAAAATGCAGTTTGATAGCTTTGGGTTTTATTTTAATATTCAATTTTGTTTAATTCTTGATTAGTACAAATGAAAATCACACTAGCAACTTGAAAGGTCTAATTAAAATCTCTATCAATGTTTCTCAAACCTTTCAGATAAGGTATGAAAGATAAGGTATGAAATTAATAAGTCTCCCATATTTGAACATCAAAAATATAATGACATACAGAAGAAAAGCTAACCTCATTTCTTTCCCTTAGTTCTGGTCCCAAGTCCTATAGGTGCTGAGTATCATCAATGTCTAGATTTTTCACTGGGAGGTAAGTACCTCTCCCAGTCTTTCAGGATTTAGTTCAATTAGACCAAGTTAACAGAATGCTTAAGAACAGACTTGAAGGCAAGTCCTTTTCAGATTCATCATTCTAAAACCCTGGCCTTAACGCCTATTACAAGTGCAACTGGAGACAGTATTTTTCTTCTTACCCTGTAGCAGTGTGGTCATGTTTTATCAGCACTGCTGTTTCTTGTCATATTTTAATGGAAATAGTATGTTTGTGTGAATACGTTACCTACCTCACAGAAACTAATAATCTTAGGCTATGTGATGAGTAATTATGTTGGACTTGTGGCTGGCCAAACAGGTATCAGTCAGTTAAAATTCTGATGACAGTCAAATCTAGGATAGTCATTACCAGATTAGCAAGAATACATGATCATGATTTTGGAAACTAGCAGATGCTGACTTTATGATTTCACTGCCAGTTAACATGAGTTTAGGAAGACAGTGCCCATCAGAATAATTTGGGAAGTCACACTGGCTATACGGAAATCTTCCAGAATACTTCCAGGAGCACCTAGCAATTTCACATCTGTTTCCCTAACTGTGTGGTGCTGTGGACACCTCTTCCCATAACTCTCCTGAAGTGGGTCCTTATCAAGATGAAGGGCATCTGTTACACTGAAAGAAGAAATGGATCTTGTGGCTGCTTTACTGCCACTATTACTTGCTGGTCAGCACACAGGCATGACAAACGTGCAACTGAAACCAGGCTGGTTGTGCTTAGGGCAAGATCAATGCATGTCAACAGAGTTGCTGTGTCCCCACAAGTGCTTGGTTTCCCTGCCAATCTTCACTTAGCCTTGCACAGGAAACCACTCAAGGGTAACATCACCTCTTGCCAAAAATCTGCAAATATCACCTCAGCGGCTGCATTTTCTTGAAATTTTTGTTCGGCTTTCTGAAGGGGAACTGGAAGTTGCTCTGGGTTGCATGCAAATTTGATCTGTATTTTCTACAATATCTGCATGAAGAAGTGGAAACACATGGTGAAAGGATGAGACCGACTTGGTTAAGGGGAGTCATGCACTGGTACCAACATCTGCAGTAGCTTCAGGCCACCACCTGCAAGAACTGGGAAGTCTAACTCATGCGAAACACCTTGGCTGAGTCCCTGATGAAGAACCTGTCATGGAGTGTGGGCTGCTCAGGCAGCTACTCACAGTCTTTTTGTATGCAGCAGGGCGAAAACCATATTTATTTTCATTTGAACTTCCTATTACATGGTCCCTGGCAACTGCTCAGATCACTTTATCATCCTTTTTGACCTTCCCATCATTTCTCTTGATGTGACACTACCTCATGCAAGCCCAGACAACCAAAGCACTTTTGCCCAAGTACTTTGGGGAAGTCCAGGAACTAGTGTTTCTTTCATTGCTGCAGCGTATGGGGCCCCAAGACAGGCACCATATTTTTAGGAATGCAGCATAGGTCTCTGAAGGTAAATGTGCTGCAAGGAGGAAAAACAGTCTTGGAGAATACCTCCCAGGTAATTCAGTAGCACCAATTGTTTCTCACACATTCAGCATTACCATCAAAAAAGAAATCTCAAAGGAATTTTCTTCCTTTCTATAGTAACTTTATGTAGAACGGGATCTATTTATCTCCCATTCTCATCTTGTGTGTCTCCCTTCTTTTGTGTCATTTTTTTCCCCACTCTAGTTATGGCAGCTCCTGTCCGTGTTATTAACGTTTAACACAAAAGGATACTGTATTGACTGCAGTCAGTGTTACCTCAGTACGTTTACTTCATTAGAGCCATGGTGCTACACACCACCCTGAAGATTAACTGGAATAGTAGTTCTCCTGTTGCATGTAACACTTGGCTGTCAGCAACTCCAACTTACAGAGTCAGAGTAAGCTGACTGTAAACAACCTTGTGAACTTACCCAATGAAAGCTTATGCAACAAACAGCAACTCACTTCCTGAACTGTTTCACTATTGGGGAAACTTTTCATCATTTCCACTATAACATTGTAGCAGCGAACATTTCCAGACATGAGCACTTCAACATTGCTGGCTAAAAGAAAGAAACAGAAACAAAAATTGCTTTTTAAGAAAAAAACCCAATAGGATTGGATTCACATGAGCAAGTAAAAAGACAGAATGCATCCTTTCCTACTGAGGACAAAGCAATCCCACATGTAGTAATTTAAGGCAAAACAGCATCATGGTATTTAAAACACAGTGTATGAAAGTATCCTTGTAGTACGTCTATCCACAGTATGAGACAGAATATGAACCCAAAAAATCTTTGGTAAAATCCTGGCCCCAGTGAACGAAAGGGAGTCTTGTCACTGACTCCAAGGGAATTAGCATTACTCTGCTGAGGTCTATATAGTTTCTTAATCATTCTTTCAAAATATTCTCAACTGTATTATTAAAGATAATTAGTCTTTTTAAAGCAGCAGGAGATCTTCAAAATAATATATCTCTGAATATTTAATAATGATACTCTGTAAGTTGAAAAAGCAAGCTCCGAGTGGGAAGCATTTCTGAAACATTCCATTTGATAGTGAAAGGTACCTTTCACAAGACTTTAAGATGACAGTGATTTTAGTCATGTCATTCTCAACCGAAAACATCTTCTTAAAGGTACATTCCACAACACAGTATTGCATCACTTCACAGTAAGTTATCATTTCACAGGTGACAATTATAAACATATTAAAATATTCAGAAGATTCTAAAATTGTTTACTACAGAGAAAGCATAATTAATTGCATGCTTAAGTCCTGCAAGAATCAAGCAAAGGTACATTTCCAGGGAGCCACCATTCCCCAGAACAAACTAGAGAAAAGGAGGTGGAATGGATCTCATTTAATCTTAACCACCAAAACTTGGTCATCTAGGTTCTCACAATTGCTGAAGAGATCTGAGCACTCCGTATGGTGGTTAGATACCTCTGTAGCAGATACCTCTCTCAGGGTCAGGTAAATTTCCTTTTGATGTGCCTGTTTCTCCCTGTTAAACAGAGGAGAATCCTGGATGGCTGCCTGTGACTACCCTTTAGACGACTAACATGCTGTGATCCATCACCCCCCTATGGACTTTGGAGGACAGTTGGCAGCAAAACATTTTCTCATTCCATTGAAACCACTGAGATTTAAAAGAGTTCTTGTACGGCATTGGAATAAACTCTTACCCTTCCGTTTCTCATGACATACGAGCTGGAACAAAGTCTACATATGTACTAGTGAATGAAGGCATAGTGAGGTACAAATCCTTGATGTAACCCATATGGAATAGAGACTTGAAATCAGGGTATAGGGAGACACTTTACTACCGGATAAGCTAGAGTGTGTACTTAAGAGTGAATGATTTTCTCCGTGGTGGCCTTAAAGGAATACATTTTCTTGCAGGTATTATGGGATGTCACAGCACAAGAGTATGAATGCTGGCAAAAGTAGCCTAGCTTTGCACATTCATGTGCAAGCTATCTCTGTTTCTCTGACTATTTTTAATCTTTCGTATCAGAAATGAGATTGCTAACCCCAAAATAAATACCAACTTTAGAGCAGGTCTTTGTCACACCCTTCTCCTGTTATGCTTTGTACAAGCATTTACTATTTTAAAAAGCACTTAAAATCTGGCATACTCTTCCTTAGAAAATGGCAGTAACTTCTGGGCTAGGGTAAAATTATTTCTGGCTCAAGGAATACTTAATTTTTTAAACACAAACTGGAACAGCAAGAAGTTTGAGAAACAGAAACTAAATAGTTTGGAGTCTGATGAAATGTGGGACACTCCAGTCTAGTTCTTGTTTTCTGGCATACATGAGGCCAGCATGGTTCCTATGGAGCCAGACAGGATGTATGGCAAGCCTTTGTAAGGAATCACATCTGCAAGAGTACAAAACCATTTACCTCATGGAAGACATGGAGAGCAGGACCCTGCTCTATGCTTGCTAAAATTGTGATTACCAGCAGGAAGCTAAGAGCCGCCTCTGTGTCAACAAGATCAAACTGCTGTCAACAAATTGATACAAATCATCAAGCACATTTCTCAGGACTTGATTTTGCCCACAACAGGGACTGCTGTTATCAGAAGACAAGACATAATAAAGACATTTTCTTCCAGTCTTATTGCACAACAACCGAGGACACCGTAAGACTCTATAATGTGCACAGTGCTATTAATGCTCCTCATTGCGGTCACCACCAAATGATCAGAGAGGGGTGTCTGAGCCCAGATACCTTTTCTCAGCCCTGGTGACTGGATTTGTGTGGGCGATTTTCCCCTTGTGGAACAGCCTCTGCCAACAGTGCTCTGTACCTGCTACCCAAACTCACTGGAGATTTGTTTAGTCAATAAGTGTATCTTATTTTTCAAGCATTAAAAAAAGACAGGGAAGGGTCTTGATCTTTGACATCTACAACCATGATGAGCATCTTCGTTACCACTTACTCCAAGCAGAAGAAAGTCTCTTTCTGTTCTTTATGAGAGATTTCAGTTTTATCAGAATGGCTGAATACCAATATTTCCCACGAAAAATTACAAATCAGTATTTCCCAAAGAAAACAGAAAAGTGATTTGTCTGGCAACTCTCAACCAGTTCTCACTGATTTTTTACAATTACTGAAAGACCACTGCAAACTGAGGTGAGCTGATGCACACTAAGGGAGATAAGAAATTGAAAATAACTTCCAATAATGCACTTACATGGACCAGCTAAGGAATGTAGTGAATAAAGTGCAGGAAGAATCACCTCTTCTTTCTCTGGAAACTCTTTAAATACTTTCAGTATGATCATATGATCTTTGCTTTCAACAAATTCAGTCAGCTGCTCTTCTGGAACTAAATAGAAAGTAAGACAGATACAGTATGTTTTGAGGAAATAATTCATATCCTGGTACAACATGAGAAAAGACAATTTTTTAATCACATTTCTTTATACTTAGTTTCTACGTTTCACAGAAGGTACTCTCCATTTACATCATCTTCCATAGTTATGACTCCTTTTACTAAAAACTGAGCTACTTTATAAAGACCTTTGTCTAGCCTACACTTAATGTAACTGAGTTCACACTTTGAAATGCTTCCCTGTGAACTAGTATTTAAAAAAAAAAAAGTCCTTCAGACTTTTTCACAGAATGAACTTCAGATATTCCTCACCAAGACAGTATATAAGTGAAGGAAAGGCTAAGCATACAGTGAAAACAATTTGATGGAATATAATTTTGCATACCCTATGATTTTATTTCACTTCTCAACTTTTTTTGACAATGGAGTTTTTTTCCATAAAGACTACAGCCATGCTTTAATAATACCTCACCTTCACTGTAATAATGGCTTAAAGTTTTTCCTTCCCTGCCCCCTGTTATTTGTGCTGCCATAACTGCGTGGCTGTGCAATGAACCAGATAAGGAAACTGATCCCGGTCAAGAAAGAATGACACACTCTAAATTTTGTAAGCAGAATCATTTTCTGAACCTGGTTCAAGCTAAAGGCTAGGCAAACATTCACATTACAACAGCTGACAAGGTGGCTCAGAGGCAGGAAAAAATAGGCAGGGGAAGCCTAGGAACTTGTTACATCAGCGCTGCCATCAAGAAGGTATGCAGGTCTGTACTCGGAGCAGTCTGTAGATCTGTAAAAATCAGGCACTTATAAAAAGCATGCACAGAAAACCTAAGAAGCTCAGATCTTTGTGAAGACTGAAGAGAAAATACAGTAGGACAAAAGTATTTAGGGACAGTGGAAGAGGGGAAGGAACACAAAAGGTAATTCCAGGCACACATGTGAGGGAGGAAGACTTAGAAAAAGCAATATAAAATGGTGCCAGAAAGAAAAAATCTAAATAATTGGAGACTATCTTTGAAGCAAAGGAGTACAGCAGACTTGGTAGGGGTGCTACTATTTCTCAATATTTATTTTGAAGCAAGAAACTCAATGCAAAGCAAGGCTGCTACAACAATGGGATTTCTGGCCACTACACATGCAGTTCCTGAAAATTTTGCAGAAATGCAATACATGGTGATTTCATTTCTCAAAAGTAACACAGAAGTACCATACAGATATACACTCATCTTTCAGCATTGTCAGGATCAAAACCAGAATCGCATATTTTTCAAAAGTGCAAACATTTTGCTTTATTTTAGAATTGTTCACATGTAACTAAAATTTGCCAGTCTTTAAATAAACAACCCTGTTTTTTGAGAATTAAAATCAAATATGACTAGTCTCTGTTCCAGTGTTACTAACTAATGTTGAATCCCATTTTTTCCAGTTAACTCTGGAGTCAGAAATGAAGAGACATTTTGATTTTTTTAAAAATTCATATTCATTGCCCTAATTTAGAAAATTTGTGACATTGCTTGGAAAACCTGTTTTGTGCAAACTCATTCAAAGAACACATATAATACACAAAACAGAATTTGGAATGCAAGAATTCATTTATTGCAGTTAAATAAACATCTGCAGTCCCCTCCCAACCTTTGCATTTTTATAACCTAATAAACTGCAAGAAATAAATACCTTTCTCAAAAAGTTTGTGTAATGCTTTACATCCATGTTGCTGGATCTCTTCATTTTTAGGGAAGGTGTGCATAGCATTAAATACCAAGGAAAACACATCCACCTCTTCCTCCAAGAGCAGGAAAGCAATTGTGTCTGAAGAGCAGAAGAGATTACATGTTGCACTGGTTAGTTCTCAACATTTCTGTTGAAGCACTGTACTTAACCATTAAAATCCAAAATTCTTTAATACTGTCCTTAAAATTTACTCTGATGGCTCAAATGTGAGGTTTTTGTATAACATGTGAGGATGTTATCTCTTAAGGCAGTATTTTAAAATAAAACCGAGATGTTCTAAAACATTACTGCCAAAAATGAGTTTCCCCTCTCCACTCTTGCTCCCACCTCGCACTGCTTTGGTAATTGTCTGACCTCTCAATGAACCGGTTCAGCTCACTAAACTGGGAGAAAATTAACTCATCGAAAAAACCTTTTCTGCAGTCACAGCAAGCTGACTTCACTAAGAAGTAAGGTTGGTGGAAGAAAGAAGGCAAGACTATACTGCCTGAGGAAAGCAAGAGAGGATTTGAAATCAGATCATCTGTACCATGGAATACTACTCTCACTCTCTCAGCCATTCATTCAGCCTGAAACCGAACTAAAAAGCTAATCTCACTGTTGTTCTCATGACATTAAAAATAATCTGAGAAAAATATTACTCTCTCTACAGCATGTGTAGGCAAGAAGATTCCTATTGATGACAATTTTTCAAGCTTACAGCAGTAACAATAGAATTCTTAATGCCTATTCCAGTGTTTCAGCTGCAGCTGGATTTTTTTGTGTTAGTTTTTTTTCTAAAGAGAAGATCTTTCTATATGTCATTCACACTGGCCTGTCAGCTCCAACTATAGTGCAATTCAAGTTTACAGACATATAGAAATAAAGACTACTAAGAGATTTTTCTGACAAGGTACAATTTCAAATATTTTTCTGAAGTAAGGTAGTTGAAATGAGAGTTTAAATTTGGTTAATCAAACACTAGAAAGAGTAGCAGTCAGGAATAAATTGTTATGCAATATATAGTCAACAGTTCAGGACCCTTTTATGATACCTCACAATTAAAAGAAAGGTGCTGTTGGTTACAGTTACTCACTAATAGCCAGATTTTGCTATTATTGCTATTATTATTATTATTAATCACACAGTGTAATGCCTTATATTGAGACCTGTATTACCCAACTTCAGCAAATAAAAAGTTAGGCATCCGGTCTAAGCTAGTCCTCCAGACCTCTCTACAATCAAAAGGGAGAGGAAAACAGGTTCAAGAGGTAACTAGTCTTATAAAACAGACAAATGAATAGCATGAACCATCCTCTGAAATTGCCTGTCTCACTCTACTGCCTACAGCAGAAGCTTGGACAGCTGGATTAACTTTAACTACCTAAAGCCAAGTCTAATCCTTAGTTTGTAAATATGGCTGATTCCAAAGGCTGTTAAAATCAATGGAAACATACCTATTCTAATAATAAATTGTGCTAATATTGTATGTTAGTTCAAATAAAACTAGCAGAATCTCTCCCTTAAGTTCTCTCTTGAATTTCAACATGATATCAAGAATCTCAGCACCATGAGAAAAGTCCTCTGTACCTGGATTTGGTCTCTGCACAGCAGAATAACAGAAATGTCAGAGATTATTTACTGTTTTCAAAAGTACTAACCAGTACTAAACAAAGCCAGTCAGAATGTCACCAAATTTATACTTCAGTAAGAAAAAATAAGCTCTTATTTTACTTAACTACTTAACAGTAAGTATTTGTGTCTATGCTAATAACAAGTTGGCAGAATTAATCAGTCATGTTCTTCATGGCCTTGCAATTTGGAGAATCCTTTCTACCTGGGTAAAAAGGTGCAAAACAGTACTCTTATTATTTTGTATCCAAGTGCAAATGACAAGTGACTTTATGGAGTAAAGCAGAGAGAAAAATCAGGCCTGACATGTACAGTCACACACTTTCTACCACAGTTCCATGTTTTAAAAGCTTAGACAAAGTAGGAAAGTAAAACACACAATACCTGACATCAGGAGTAGATTTAATGCTTTCAGTCCTATTACTGAGAGATTCATATTTCCTTTGTGGATTGTAAGCATTTTAAGAATCTGCCTAAAAATTAAAAACCAAAACAAACAAACAAACAAAAAACCAGGAAAAAACAGTTATGGCTAAAGAAATATTAACATACACAAAATTTTATCAAATGTTTACTTTAAAAACAAAAACACTTACAGAAATTAGCAAAAGCTTAAAAAGCTCCTGATTATTTTTTAAAAAAACCTTTTATTTCAGTTTATGTTTTTTTGAAGTTAGTAATAATGTTGGCATTTTAACTATTTTCATACTTTGTCAAAATAATGATGTATAATTTATCAATTTTACTTTATTTTTTAATTAATTATATAAATATTAATTCTACAGGGGACAGTGCAAGACAAAGTGATCCAGATGGATGTACATTGTGTTTGAGGCACAGTATGGCACTGTTTGTTGCAAGAGTTAAGTTACAGATCAAGGGTTTGCTGGAAGAGAGGCAGCAGTTTCCCAGCTACAGAACTTGAACAGCATCTTGAAGAGCTCCAGAAGAACTCTAAGTTTCCACCATAAAACATTTATGTGATGCTGGACAAATCACTAAAAAGAAACATGTCATAGACTACCAGTTGTATACTCCTTACCTTCTGGGCAGCCCAACTTGAGAACCAAGGATATTAACCTCTGAAATGCTGCATTAGAGTCAACCAAAGTTGAATATTTAAACAGAGAGAGTGCCAAACTGCTAAGTACTCTGAAAAATCCAGTGCATGTATCAAACTGGGCACCCAAAAATCAGTTGATACTTTTAACATATTTTGCTCAAACTACCATCTGTAAATCAGTGACGACAAATCCATAACATGTTCTCAATAAACAACATTTTAAAAGCTCTAGACAATACTGATGAGCACTAAGAAAAGCTGAGGAGAAAATGAATAGGCCAGTTTTCTCATAAAGTATCACTAATATACAGTAAATAAGGTGGTGGGCCACACATTGAATGATGCTGATGACACAAAATAAACAAGCATTGATTTTGCATTGAATGAAGCATATCTTAAAAGGGGGAGGAAACCCCAGATTATGTAATTAAAAACTAAATAAAAATGGATAGGCTTACACAAAAAAGCCTCAAGAAACCTTCATTTTTTTATTTTCATGATTTTGGAGAGCTTGACTCTACAATCTTAATAATCTTCAAATGTGAGTCTTTGTATATAATATCTAATAGAAATTGATTGCTTAATAGTTTGTGACACTTTAATAGATATTCCTGATCTGTCTTGAAAAACAAAAAGCAGCATTTAAAGTTTCATCCAAATTTCATTCACAAGCTCTACCAATGATGTTTGTGTTGCTAAAGTCTAACTTTATAAGTTAGAATGAATGTATGACTGGTTTATTTCTTCTCCCTTCATAGTATGGTGTTGCTAGTTTCTCTCCTCTGCTGTAGCACTAGTGTCATAGCTATAATGATCAAAGTAGACTTAAGAGGCAAAGTCTGATGAGAGATAGAGTATCCTTCACCCTTTGCAAGATAGGGAATTATGACAGTATCAGTCCAATAAAAGATTTATTGTTTGTTCATTTAAACCATACCTTGCTTACATCCTTACACTCTGAGAAAACCGCTGCTGAAATCTAGGGTTAGTCAGAATACAGTGTGGGATGATCTTAAGAATGGAAAATAAAATCCAGTTAAATGCAGGCTTTTTTTTCTTAAACTGAGATTAGATACCTCACTGAAATTTCTGTATGCACACTTTGGACTTACAACTCTACAGACAAGGATAGATGGTGGTATTTGGGTTTTCAGTCCTGATGCAAATTCTTGCAACATCATACAATCCCCATGTATGGACTATGTAGCAGGGTGATGAATCGAGGCAAACAAAGAGCCACTCTAACCAAGCTGGTAGAGTAGATAAGCTTTAAATAACCTTTAAATTTAAGTAACCTTTAAATCTGCTTTAACCTCCTGATCAAAGCGTTTTAATCTGAAACATTGCTAATGTATTTTATTGCGTGGCTACAGGTACCATGCATACATGGGTAGAAACTGTACATGGGGTGCAGACTGCTTCACTTCTTTGCTCCATAAGTAACAGTGGCTTAGACCTTCTTACTCCTTACACTCTGCATGGATGGAAAAACCCCACTGAGTTATCAAACACTCTGAAGCCATTAAACGTCTCTCCCATGTCTACCAATGACTCATGATTTCTTCTGTGAGGAAGGACATCTGCTTTGGGAAGAGGGTATTATATAGAGGGTGATCTGTTTCAGGCAAGCACTGAGATATAAAGACATTACCTGACTCATTATACTGCAGGGTAAAATAATCACACACTAAAGCATGTCTAATACAAGGAGAAAATTCATAGAATCATGGAATCATCACAAAATAGTTTGGGTTGGAAGGGACCTCAAAGATCATCTAGTTCCAACCCCCCTGCCATGGGCAGGGACACCCTCCACTAGACCACGTTGCCCAAAGCCCCATCCAACCTGGCCTTGAACACTTCCAGGGAGGGGGCATCCACAGCTTCTCTGGGCAACCTGTTCCAGGGCCTCACCACCCTCACAGGGAAGAATTTCTTCCTAATATCTAATCTCAATCTACCCTCCTTCAGCTCAAGGCCATTACCCCTTGTCCTATCACTCCATGCCCTTACAAACAGTCCCTCTCCAGCTTTCCTGCAGGTCTGTTCAGGTACTGGAAGGCTGCAATAAGGTCTCCCGGGAGCCTTCTCTTCTGCAGGCTGAACAACCCCAACTCTCTCAGCCTGTCTTCATAGCAGAGGTGCTCCAGCCCTCTGAGTATCTTCATGGCCCTCCTCTGGACTCTCTCCAACAGCTCCATGTCCTTCTTGTACTGGGGGCTCCAGAGCTGGATGCAGTACTCCAGGTGGGGGTCTCATGAGAGTGGGGCAGAGTGGGGAGTAGAGGGGCAGAATCCCCTCCCTCAACCTGCTGGTCATGCTTCTTTTGTTGCAGCCCAGGACATAGCTGGCTTTCTGGGCTGCAAGCACACATTGCCGGCTCATGTTAAGCTTCTTGTCCACCAACACCCCAAACTCCTTCTCCTCACGGCTGCTCTCAACCCATTCTCTGCCCAGCCTGTAGTTGTGCTTGGGATTGCCCTGACCCACATGCAGGACCTTGCACTTGGCCTTGTTAAACTTCATGCGGTTTGCACGGGCCCACCTCTCAAGCCTGTCCAGGTCCCTCTGGATGGCATCCCTTCCCTCCAGCGTGTCGACCACACCACACAGTTTGGTGTTGTCAGCAAACCTGCTGAGGGTGCATTCAATCCCACTGTCCATGTCGCTGACAAAGATGTTAAACAGCGCCAGTCCCAGTACCAACCCCTGAGGGACACCATTCGTCGCTGGTTTCCACTTGGATATTAAGCCATTGACCACAACTCTTTGAGTGCGACCATCCAGCCAATTCCTTATCCACTGAGCAGTCCATCCGTCAAACCCATGTCTCTCCAATTTAGAGACAAGGATGTCATGTGGGACAGTGTGAAATGCTTTGCACAAGTCCAGGTGGATGACATCAGTTGCTCTTCCCTCATCCACCAACGCTGTAACCCTGCATCTATTTTCCCGTTTCAAGTATAATCAAGAGTGAGGATGTAAAATATTCTGAACCTCATCTACTATATGAGAGTTTAATGTAAGAGATTACAAAACATCTCATGAAGTCTCTTTGAGCTTGTAGAAAAGATACAAATACATTGAAGGAATTTCTTTCCTTTCTGCTCACAGTGACAGTGCCTATTTAATTATTTATCACACTGTCAAGAACACCTAAATCAATACCAAACTACTGTTTGTAAACATGAATGTAATGTGGTCAAGTTGGCTCACGGTTGAGAGATAAGAAACAAATTCTTTTTTGAGCTTAATATTTCTTTTTTCCTAAAATAGTTACACACAAAAAAGTGAAAATCTCTTGGAAAAAAAAGACCTTTTCTTTCTACCATAACTGCCTTCCTGCCTTGCTGCAAACAGCACATAGTCAATATGGTGTTGATGAACTGCAGTACAAGTCCAATCTACCTACAAGGACCCTGAGATATAATATAGATGGCTTGCTCTGCCTTTGGCACTGACAGAAATGTCTGAGCCCGCTCTCCCACTAACAAGTTTCTCCACAGCAATGAAAACTGTCAAGATGTCAGGCAGGGATACACAGTTGGCTATAATATTGGTACTGGGAAGGAATTGTGTACAGCAATGTTATCATCAGACCTTTAGTAAAGTTTGAGTTTGTAAAGGATGCTTTGTTCAACTGCTCACACTGTGTGGCCTCTGAGGTGGCTATGGGAAAGATCAGCCCAAAAAGAATAATTTCTTCTCAGACTCAAGAATGAACAGCAACATCTCTAGCTCTCAGAATAAGTCTCAGTCAATTAACAAGACTTTAAGTTGCCAAAGAAACTGTAATTAGCTTGTACAGCTTCTGCTCAGTTATTCCTTGCTTGTGTAAAGCAATCAAAATCACTTTATCTTTCTAACAAAAATTGGCAGCACTTCTTTCAAGGGAGTTTATTCCCCTACTGACCATTTACTCTAGCCACTGTAAAACAAACAAACACGCACAAAACCAAACTGCATCTTCACGCAAATGATCTTACAGCAGCAACCTTTCTAAGGAAGGGTATGGTGAAGACTATAAAGGCAGAGGCAGATTCACTAGGGCAGTTGCAAGGCTGAAGCTTCTTGCTGTCATCAGCCCTGAATGAGGCAATCTATCCAACTGCGAGAACACCAAACCAAGTCCTTCTCCCCTGTTTGTATTATAACTACATCTACAACTACATTTGTGGTAAGGAACAACTACATAGCTAACCTATGTGGGTTTTCATCCCATCTAACCACAGACATCCAGAAAACAGTTTCTCAGGCTCCCTCAATGGCTAATGGATGGACACGAGCAAGTCCAAACCACAGGATAACTCCACGATAACTTAGCAAAAAGATGGAATGAACCATCCTCTCTGAAAGTAGCTGCGTCCACTGACTTCACAGGTAGTTGAAGTGATCAGTTTACTGAATTTTTAGACAACTAAGATTAGATGTGACAAATACCCCTCCTCTCGATTTGCACTACTTTAGGCTTATGGATATAATTCATCATATCTGGAAAGAATACACACACACAACTATCCAGGTAACACTGCATCTGTTTATTACAATAGAAGACCTTGATAATCACAGAATCCCAGCATCGTTGAAACTGGCAGGGACCTCTGGAGGGCTCCTATTTCAACTCCCCTCCTCAAAGCAGGGTCAAGTACAGCTGATTGCTCAGGGCCATGTCCAGTCAGGTTCTGAATATCTCTAAGGCTTAAGACTTCACAACCTCTCTGGGCAACTTGTTCCAGTATTTGATCAACCTCACAACAAGAACAACAACAACAGTTTGCTTGGGTTTTTTTAACATTTAAGTGGAATTTCCTATATTTCAATTTGTGCCTATTGCTTCTCATCCTGTCACTGGGTGCCACTGAGAAGAGCCTGAAGAAACCCACAAAAATCTTCAACCACTTAGAAGCTGATGTAATAACTTTATATAAATATATTTCATTACATATATATGCTGCCATGATAACCAAGCATTCCAGAAGACTCTTTGCATACAAAATACTTACTGGTGAACACCCAGTACTTCCCAGTCCTTCCCGACATCCTTAGGAGCTATGTTCTGTAGAGTACTTGGACAAATTTCTATTAATTTGCAGAGAAGTGACCAACCCATCTGTAAAACAAAAACACAGCTATTTTAGAACAGATACTCCGTTTGGAACTTCAATGTTGTCTTCTAATATTCTTGGCTTTTGGAAGACAGATGTTCTGAAAAGTTATTTAGCTAAATCAATAAGAGAAAAACTAATGCAAGACAAATGACATAAAAAGTTAAAAGATGGAGGTAGAACAGATATGCTAATCATTTGGATTGCATTGCTTGTAGGAAGACATGACTCTCAATGTGCTTCAGCACTGCTTGAGGATAAAAGACACACAGTTAGATACTGACAGAAAAATATGGTGTAATCCATAGTACGTTATCACGGGCTGGGGAAGACCACTGCACTATTAGAGGTAATCCAGCTTTATTGAAGAATGGGTATTTCCATAAGAATTTGCCATTTAATTGTAAATTATAAGGAGAAACGTTAGGTTTTTAAGGGTGTCCAATGATTTAAATGGGGATGAGAGACCTAAACAATACTATATATTTCATATTCTTGCCATCAATCCTCAATACTGTGTGCTTTCAAAACATAATGGAGGCAGTGAAAGTTTTGAGATCATAAGAAATGAAAGATGAACTAAAACGAATATACTTGTTCTTAATAACTACCTACTCTATCCTATGCAAATTCTTCGACTATCAAACATGTCTAAATAATGCCAAAACCACAAAATGTTCCTCTTTAGTCTTCCGTATTGGAGAAATCTGCTCTCTTAAGAATGCCTGCAGGCTGATAGGATTGAATGGGCTTTAGTGAGGATGGAGTAGGCAAAATCTGTACAAAGGATGAACTGATGAGCAAGAAAACACCACTGTATTGAAAGAGAAGTGAACTGAGAAATGTCAAAAGTCAAGATGAAGCAGATTTTGCAAAAAGGAATTAAAACAAGGCATAAAAGTTTCCTTGGCCATATAGATAAAAAGAAAAAAACCAACATGGAAGTAGGCCTCTGTGCTTTAAGAATAGGGTCAAGTCAGAAGATAATCTAAGTATGGCTCAAAAAACTATATGCATACTGGATCAGTTTTTGGCAGAAGAGTTACGTAAAGCAAAGGGGTCCAGACAGGACAGGCAACAACAGGAATGGAAAGTTTAGCTGTTCATGATCTCTAACCCTGCAGTCTGCAAGACTAGAGACATGAAATTGCAAGTCTAGTAGTGTACAGACACCCATAGGAACAGCACAGGCTTGAATCTCGACAGCTTTTACGACAGCTTTGGTGAGTACGAAAAAGGTGATGTAGCTCCCTGGGAGCTGGAGTTCTGCTTTCATCCTTCACATACTTGGTTATGTGGGCTATGTTCGCACTATTTGCAGAGCCAAATGTTTTAAGCCAATTACAACCTTAATGTCTGCAGACTGAGCTTGGCCACAAGCCGTTTTCCATGCTCTTCTCTTGCTTGGATAGCAAGCTGGCTTGCTCTACATGAGACTGCAAACCAACTACTTACGGGCATTCAGGAAGATTAGTCTGGTCTGTGTAACTGAGTCCTGACTAAGCACAGGTGCAAAGAATAGTCTTAGCAACCATCAGTCCTCCCCAAGATGAAGATATTTAATTACCTACTTTTCCATATTCCAAGCAAAACAGAGTTTATCAGTGACAGTCAATCAGGTACAAAATTCAAATCTGCATGGCAAAGACATTGTGGAGGTGACAATTAATTGTGTATTGCTTAGAAAAGATTTTACTTTAAAAGTCTCACCTCATGCCATCCTAACTGTTCTTGTAAAATTTAGAAGCTGATGAAAATTAGCTTAATGACTTTAGAAAATTCCTTTTTGGATTAAAACTGTTTCTTATGAAATTTATATTTGCATTAAACATTTTTATTTGGATTGTTGTGACTCCAAGTATTAACAAACACTTGTAAGAACTCTGGCTCCAGAGAAGACCAATGAAAACATCTGGCCTGCTGACGTGTGGTCTGTTTTACAATATTAAAATATTAAAATCACAACCTGAGATAACAGAAAGCTTATTATCTGTTTAATAATTACGTAAGAAAGTAAGGATCTTTTAAATAATAGAAATCCTAAAGGTTACAGGGAAAGAAAAAAACCTCCAGTAAACAAAGATGTTCTTATAAACACTTAAACAGGTCCCTATACACAGCAACAGTTGGTGGCAGCACTGAAACTCTGTTATTTTTAAATCAGACCCTTTTCATTTCTAGCATGCAATGAATTTATATTACATTAGGTCACACCTTCTACGTGAGACAATAAAGCTCTGCCGACTGCTCTCTACTCAAGTGTAAACATATTTTGCTCTAGAGTTTCTAAGCTGCTCCAATCATTGACAGAGTAACTGCAGAAAGAAACTACCATACTTAAAGATGCCTACTTAAAGACATCTATGTTACTTTAAGGCACTATTGACTTTCCAGCTCAGTACCCTCCTACTTCTAAAGAAGCTTGCAGAGTTTATACCTGTAGTCCGACAGGCATTGGTACTTGCAATATTGATCTATTAAGCAAACTTACTCTGTACAAGCCCATGGAACAGCAGCCCAACATGATGCTTTGTAACCAGTTAAGGAGAAGAGGGAAAGAAAATCCTCAGTTCAGATATGCCTCTTACTGTGTTTATTCTCTTATGTAAATCAATTTTATTACAATGCTAAAAGCAAAAGAGGTTGTTTAATCCATTTATTAAATGAAAATTTGTTAGTAAAGAGACTGTGCTGAAATCACGACTACATTACTTCATTACTGCTATAAAGTGAGAATTGTGTTTTCACAAAGACTGTAAACTAATCACAGTGAACGAAGCAAGAAGACAGAGCTCTACTAACATATTGTGGATGTTTGTAAATATCATAACTGAATGTGAAGGAAGAACTGCCTAAGACATTTTATGAGGAACAGGATTTGAGCTTTGCACTGGCTATGAATTTCACACTTTAACACAACGTAGTAATGCAAAGGAGCTCCAAAACTTCTAAACTGAAACGCTGCATGACTGCAAATGTAGGCAGAGAGAAGATTAAAACTAATTTTAAAATTCTATATGAAATCAGGGAGGCTTAACATGGTTAAAATGAAAATTAAACAATCACTATCTTCCTTATGCACTTCTGAGAGTCTTGTGCTGTCACTTCAGACCTACTTCTGGTTGTGGTTAGATTTCTTATTTTTTACTTCCTAGTCTAAACTTCTGGGCAGTGGTTTTGTAAATTGTTATACACATAACATGCTTTACGCTGAAAATAACTGCTGATTCATCCTCCTTTATTTCTTAATGACCTGACAACTGAATAGTAAAATAAGTTAAACTTCAGACTCTGCAGAAATATTTAGTCTTCAAAGGAAATCTGAGATCACTGTTATTCCACATTAATAACTCCACATGCCCAATTTCATATTCTAATCTGAACTGACCTCTAGCAAAGGTCTACTAGAGAAAAAAAAACCCTTAAAATATACCATTATTTAAGAGGCATTTGCGATACAATTTATGTTTTGCCTTCTAGCTGAACTGAAAAAAGGATGCCAAAAATATTGTAACCATACAAATGGGCTTAATAAATAAATAAATAAATCAAGTTGCACAGAATCTTATAAACATCCTTTAAGCATAACACAGTCAGAAATTTAATATATGCCTGCCAGGAAGGAGCTGTTTCATATGACAAGTCTGGCAGCTGTACCACAAGTACAGCATCAAATTGTTCACGTGCCACACCTAAATGGCCCATCTAAATGGGCCAATGTAAAGCTACAGGAGCAGCCAAGCAGAGTCTTACATTGCAGAACCTCCTCTTAGCTAAAAGATTTCCCCTCCCCCTTTAAAAAACTGGGCTAGTACAACTCTCTAGGATAGGGCTATATATGTAAGAATTCATATTATAAAATCCTGCTTTTCAGAAGTTCGTCTAACCAGGGAAAAATTCAATATTGACATGTTGAAAATATATTACATAAAATTATTGGTAATTTAGAAGCCTTTGTCATATAGTATTCACATTGCTTGATTTTTACTTTCTACTTCACCTTCTTTTGCCGTTTAAATAGAGATGCAACAAGTGGGATCTGCGAAAAGCTGGAATACTTGTCCATTTAAAAGCAAGCGGATACAGCGCCCTTTTACAGATCAACAGTACTTCATAAAGTGGACCAGCAGAGAGCAAGTTAAACAGAAATAAACAAGCCGAGCGGTAATTTTTATTCCGGCAAAGGACTGCGATGCTCGGCTCA